ATGTTTAATCTTGTACAGGATTCCACTGTGACATGACCTCTATTTTTTAAATACCCCAACTCAAACTGTATTAAACAATAAGGAAATGTATTTTCACATATAAATGCAAGTCCAAATGTGGGACAGACTGCAGACATGACAACCAGAGCAGCAAGGATGATATCAAGAAAAAAGTTTTCTTCCATCTCTCTGTATTGCCATTCTTATAATCACATGACAGCTGTCAAAAGAAATGGGACTCTGTGCTTTCTTTCTTTGTCTAGCAAGCTAGGGGGAAAACCCCTCTCTGACAAAGGAATATAAATCTTTCCCTTTAGTCTCCTTGGGCTGTGTATGTAAAGATATACATTTGAATCAAGTAAATAGGCAAAATTTTCAAAGTATCTACATTGCCCTTCCAAAATCATCCATCCATATATCCCCAAGAATCCCATATCTAAAATTTACAAAAATTTAAAGGAACATGTAACTCCATTGCTATTTAAACTTTACTGAAACACAAGCAAAAAAATCTTCTTATGGAATAAGTATAACCATGGCCATGATAAAGAGTACAAAATTAGGAAACTACTAGACAGTAATACTATGGTTAATACAGAAATCCAGAAGCATTCTTATGAAAACCATTATAATAACTTATTTGAATAAATACTGGAATATAATGTATAGTGTGGTAGCTATAGTTAACAAGACTGTATTGTGTATTTGAATGTTTCTAAGAGTAGATCTTAAAAGTTCTCATCACAAGGAAAAAAATTATAACTATGTGTGGTTGTAAATATTAACTTATCATTATTGTTTTGCAATATACATATACATCAAATTATGTTTGTCTTAAAATACTGTTATATGTCAATTATATATCAATTAAATTTTTTAAATAATTTTTTTCTTTTTGACCTTGGAAAAGTTATTCATAGCCTTTGTTCATTAGTTTCCTTATTCATAAACAGGAGAGAATAATATTACCTAGAATTGTGATGCACATATTCTAAGTTTTGGAGTGCTATATGTACCATAGCTTGCTCAAGTTGTTAAATTATTGGCACAAGAGTCTAAAGGATACTAAGATGAAATTTTCCAAGGTATCTTTCAGCTCTAAAAGATGTAGAATGCTATTATATAAGAAACAAGATGAATATAAATATTTCCCTCTCAAGTTATAAACCTAGATTTACATATGAAATAAAATTTACCAAGTATAGGCTCCTAAAAGTGTGTTTTTTTATGACACACTATTTAGGGATAGCTCATAATTTATAAGGATTTCTTGTATAAAAGTAATAGCTGTATTTCCTTGCTCATTCCAAACAATCTCTTGTGTTTTGTACTGTAAGCATGTTAAAGAGGGGATTAAAAAGTTGAACTTTTGTCAATCAATAAAGGAATCCCACAATATTTCTATATTAAATTAAGTTATATAGTTTCAAAAATGCTATATAAGTTCTTTAAAAAAATTAAGTAGATGTCAGCCTCTTTTAAGGGGGTTGTCCACTAAAACCTGTTCTCTCAGTCTTCTGTAATAATAACATTTATAGCTGGGCAAAAGCTCTACAACTTGACTATACTTCTCAGCCTCCTCTGAAGTTAAACATGTTATACAAAGACGTTTTACCAATAGAATGTGTCCAGGGGGGAATTTATGTCATTTTCAGTTCCGGGCAGAGCTCTTCCAAGTTCTCTTTCTCTTGACTATATGCTGAAAGCTAGATCTGGAAGTTACCTATTTTTACCATGCATATGAAACAATGACCCAGTGTAAGACAGAGGAACATCGTAACAGGTTCCAAGACCCTGAATGACCATTTGGAACAAGGATTCCTGACATCCTGAAGCCACTGAATTAGACATATTATGTAACAGAGAAAAAGGAATTTTCCACTGTTTTTTTTAATAGTCAGTGAATTATTGGATTTCTTGGTTCTTAGCAACAGTCTTCACTGTAACTAAAGGCAGATCTATTAAGTTTAAAATACAATAGTATATATGTTAAAAATTCTAAAAACAATGATAAAGTGAGGAGACCTGGAAAAATGAAAGGCTAAGGAAAACTTATACCAGTCCCAAGCATGAAAGAGAAGATAGTTTAAATTTCTTTTTGAAAGAGCTCAATTTTTGAGCAGAACAATTATCGTTGAGATAAGAATCAAGCGCCAACCAAAAAACGGTTGTCCTTTCTCAAATTTTCTCTAAAGCATGACGGATGTCTGAGAGTTTGGGTATACAAAAGTACTTTCTTACTAATAAGTTATCATGAAATAAGCAAAGATTATACCAACAAGTAGATTCTGAACATGCATTTTATAAGCAAAATCTACTACACACTAAACACAATGTAGTTTAATTCTGATCATTCAGAGATGAAAATCTTATTTAAGCTTAAAACTTGAAATTTGAGCATGATTAATCCTTTTAAAATCAGAAATGGTTATTATCTAACTTCTTCCTTGGTCCATTATTTCCAGTGCATAAATATATTCATATACTGTCTATATCAAATGGGTAAAATATATTTCAAAAAAGCAAGTTTATAGTAGAAAAATGAGAATTTGTAATTGATTAATCACTAAACAGGAAAATTAATAAATTGTGTCATTCATTCATGAGGATTTTGTGACAAATTCTCAGTGAAAATCTGTTCCTTCTAGCAAAATAGTGAATGATATTTTGGCAGTGGAATCAAAATCATGCTAGTAATTATTTAGTATGTATTCATAACTCAATTTATTTAAAAATTTGGTATGAGTTTCATCATGGCAATGCTCCTAAACTAACTTATGTCTAAGACTAAACAAGACAAAAAATGTATTCCAATATTCTTCAAATATGTTAAAAATATTATAAATATGTTGAAGAAGTTTAGCAAGGATAGCTTGTTCTATGATCTACAGTTGTATTCATTCCAAATTGGTTTGATTTATATCCTAATTTTTAATAGAGGAAAAGATAAGAAAAAGTATGGTTTTGTGAATAGCAGCCATAAAAAATGGTGTTTAAAAATACCAATCCTTCTTACTAAATTTGTTTGCTAACAGGGCATATTTTTGTTGCTCATTTCTTTTAAGTCCTCTTCATTGCACAACAACAAATTATGAAAATAAAATGTCAAGGTATGATAATCTAAAGTTTTAGTTTATTTTAGATCAAAATAGATCCTACATCAAACTTTTCTAAAATCAACTTTAGCCACTTCTTTAACAGGCATATACTTTGATATCACAAACATCTTTCATATTATTCATGATGCTTTATCAGCTATCAGCAGAGAATTTGAACAAAGTTGAAATATATATTAGCCTGAACCCATCTTATGGGACATTTTGGTTTCAGAACTTTTTTCAGGAATTATGCTTAAAAGTTGTCCTCACTTTTGTGTATGTGTGCCTCATTCCTTTACAATTTTTGTTTACATACTTACGTTGTACATGAGTTTTAGACAAAAAGTGCTTAAAAGCTATGTAAACTAAGTATTTTGCTTGCTTATTCAAGATTCCCAATTTTGTCACATGTGGCAAATATTTTTTTAACTTCTTGATGCATCATTATACTCTTATTATACAGGGTTTTATCTCCCCTATTTATTTATAGGGAGTGAAAAATGTCAACTCAAAGAATATATTTCTCTGCTAATATGAAGTCATATAGTATCAAAATACAAAAAGCAAAGTGTCAATAAAATATGCGTTTACAACTTTCACATTTTAGATTGTGATTCTTATTGATAGACCACTTTGATGCAGGCATTTTATATATAACATCTCAATAAAATTTTTATGTTTTGAAGTAGAGGTTGCGCTCATTTTAATGATGAGAAAGCTAAGGCTTGGAGAGATCAACTAATTTAAACCCAAAGTTATAATTAAGTAGCAGTAGGGCTGATACTCTTTTTTCCTATTCTTCAATTCCTACGGCCTCCTAAAACTGTTTAATTTCTTTCACTATTAGAAAATGAAGTAAAGTTGATAGAAATACTTTTCATATATCTACCTATCCTCACCAAGATTTTTCTTATATTTTTTGGTCAGAGGGTAAGATTTATATATTGACAACTAAGTATCAACTACATTTAAGCAAAATGCACAAGCTGTCTTCAAAATCCAGGAATAGAAAAATCACAAAACTACATTCCCTGGTACCTTCTTTGTAATATATGTAATATATTTGAAACTTTTGGAATATGTCACAAATAAAATAAAAAGTCTAGTTTATGAAATAAATTATAGCTCTAGCAAAAACTTATATTTTTTTCTTCAACAGCTATTTTCTATCACTTAAACACCGTATTATACCCACGATTTTTGGGGGGGTACAATGGTATCCTCTTTACTACTTAGTCCGCAAAAGCGCCTACTCAGCAAAATGCAAAAAAAGTGATTTTAGAACATTTGGTGTTGAAATCAACCACTTTTCCCCCCTCCCCAATGAAACCTCAATGGAGAAATCAATCTGGAGACTTCCGATATACAAATAATTCATAATTTCTTAAAAATTATTTAACAAAATAAGGCAAAGTAGCTGTCACTGACTACGCTCTAATGCCTAAAATGTATAAAAAAATAATGAAATAGTATTTATACTATCTAATCTTTAATTATTTAAAACTATCACTTACATTAAGCAAAAATGGTAGCTTCCAAAGAATAAAGTCAGATAATACAACGTAAAATTTATACATGTCATGTATATTTCTTAAACATGTGTAAAGACATAACACACTTCAAAGAATAATCGCGGGATGTATCTAGGTTATTTTTAATGCATCAGATTTATTTACCAATTTAAAAGATCACTTGTAGGCAGATATTTTAAAAATTTCCTGGGGGTAAACAAATCAATATATATGTTTAAGGACTAGAGCAGGGGGCAGACATAGGATTTCCTAAGTAATAAATATTATCTTTTTAATAAAAAAGGTGGTACTTTATAGGATATCCAAGTAATACTGACTTACAAAAGCAAATGTTGACCATGTAAGAGATAATGATAAAGAGATAAGAGATAATTTAGGGGACTGAAGTATGAACAACAAATTCAACCAACCCAAAATGCATTATTCATTCCTCATAGAACCAAAACAGGAAGGCGGGGGGGGGAGTAGAAGAGGTCCTCACAACACCCTGGAAAGTTCAGACATTAGGACGTGTTGACTGGCACCCATTTCTTGCTGTTGTCAAACCCGCCCCTCCGTTTCTAGGCCTCAACCCTCGGAAGCCAGCAGGGGCAAGAGGCAGGTGCTCTGCACTGTGGGGATCCAGGGGGCCCCGCAAGCTCTCAACCGCAGGCGACCGACGCCGAGCCCCGCTGCGCAGCGCGGGGCGGGAGGCGGAGGGCGCAGTGGTCCAGTCCTGCTGCGGAGGGCCCAGGGCGTTGCTAGGTGCGGGAGCCGCGAGCGGAGAAGGAGGGGCCGCGCGAGGCCCCGCCTCTCCCCGGCCGCGGCCTCCGGCTACAGCCAGGGCTCTGGGGGCTCCGGGGCCGGGGCGCGCAGGCCTGACTCGGGTGCGCGCAAAGGCGGTTCGTCCTTGTCGCCACACGGGCGCGGCCCCCGCTGCTCGAGGTGCAGCTGCAGCAGGGCCCGGCGGTACATGGCCTCCAGCTTCTCCAGCCGGGCCCTCAGGGCCCTGGGGCTGCCGGGCTCGTCCTCCAGGCCGCCGCCTCTCGCCCTCCGGTTCGTGCTGGCCTCCTCGGGGCCCGCGGTGGCCCTGGCCGCCTCTGTGGCCGCCCCGTCACCACCCTCGCCGGGAAGCCGCAAAGCCTGACGGAAGAGACTGCGGTTCTCGCGCTTCAGCCGCCGGTTTTCAAGCCGCAGCCGGGCGTTCTCTTCGCGCAGCCGCGCGTTCTGCCGGTCCCGCTCGTCCCGCGCGCGGATGGCCTCCAGGTGGCTCGCAGCCAGGTCGGCGAACCGCTCCTCCAGCTGCTGTCGGGCGCCGCCCGCACGGCCTCGCCAGCCCACGCCACCGCCGATGCCGCCACCCCCACGAGCCCGGCCGGGGCGGCCCTGCCCGCGGCTGTCCCCACCGCCGTCCCCACCGCCGCAGCTCCCGCGCCTGGTGGCGCCACCACGCATGCGCCACATCCGTCCTGTCCCAACCGCGCCGCCAGCGCCGCGGGCCACTTCGCGGCCCGGCGCCAAGGCGCGGGCGACTTCGGGGCCCGGCGGGGCGGCCGGGGCCACCGCGGAGGAGGAGAAGGCGGGCGGCGGCTGCTGGCTTGGGGCCAGAGAGGGCCGGGAATTTGCCCGCTCTGAGGCGTGTCTTGTCTCCCGTGGTGGAGCTGCCCCCCTGGGCCTGCGATCTGCGGCCAGCTCACACACAGTGCCCCGGGGAGCGCTTTGCTGCTCAGCCCTCTGGCAGAGAGGGGGGGAAGAGCGTGTATCCTCCGCTGGGTTCTGCCGGGCGCTTCCGTGCAGGCCTGGGCACTGCAGGAACCAGCCGGCCTCGCCCTGCGATCCAGCGCAACACAGCTGGTTACCCTTCTGACAGGACAGTCTCAAAGCAAATAATAATGAAAAGATAGTAAGTTCTGAGACAGACATGCGGGCAAGTTGAAAAGCTGTTAACTGCTTCATTGAGAATCGTACGGTTTAAACCCCCCTCTAAGCTCAATAAAGCATTAGAATTAAGTGAGTACCTGCCATCAGGGCCGCAAGTGGGAACAGCCATCTCTCAAAACAACATCGGCGAGTCCCAGTTTGTGCATAACCAGTGTTCCACTCTGCAAACTTTGCAACTCTGTAGAAACTAGGTTATAATTAGTTGTTTTGCTCAAGCGGGTCCACAAACCTATGAACCTCAAAATGTGTTCAAGCATTCAAGAAACTGAATACTAAGTAGGCTCCAAAATTTCTGGTGACAGATGGATACAACTTACTGAATGAATCACATTCTTTATTTTTAAGGGATTCAGCGTATAAAATAACTGGAGTATTGCAAAGTAAATTAAGGAAAAGATGCTGATGCCAGGATCTCATGGGGTAGAATGGTGGTAACAAGAATATTTTTAACAAGGTCCCAGAAAAGAAGAGCGGAAAGGACAGAATAGGACAGGAAAGGGGGGGAAAACATATATATATATATGTATACATTGTACACATTTACATATATATAATTTACATGCATATGTAAATTATATATAATATATATAATATGCTATAACATATAAAATTTTATATATTTATATAATTATATATTATATAAATATTTATATATTATATAATATACAGTATATATATATATGTGTGTGTGTGTGTGTGTATGTGTGTGTATATATATATAAATAAAATATATCCAACCAAAAGCTATCAATAATGGCCATGGAAGTTATCTGTGCATAGCAATGAACATTCACCTTATGGTTAATGGAGATTCCACTAGTCTTTTGAATAGGAGGTAGAAACAACGGATGAAATTTCCAAGTTGAAAGAGGATTTGAAACAACAGAATTACTAAACTGATCACTGCCAAAATTATTGATTTGTATTCAAATGTATTTAAATATACTTATATTAACCATACTTTAAATATACCTAAATATACTTAAAATAATAATATGTCAAGAATTATATGCCATAAGATGAACATTACATTATTTCTAAATATAGCAGCACAAACTTAGTAAAACTGCTCCTATCCATTATTTTTGTCAGTAGTCTGCATATGAAAAGATTGCAAAAAATATAAACTCCAAAGGGACATTTGCACATTGTGTTTAGGAAACTCTAACCTTCACAAAGGTTAAGAAACTTAGAGTAAAAGAGTAGAAAAATGTAAATAAGTCATCTAGAGTACTTGATTTTGCTATTTCCCTATAACTACGACTACTTCTTTTTTCCCTTCTTTTTTAAAAAGGATTTTTCTTATATAGGTTTTTTGTTTCCCCTTCTGTACTTTCAATGCCTACTCTAATTACTGAACAACTTTAATTTTAAAAAAGTATTCTTCTCCTTCTTAGGTAAGAAAAAAGATGAACAGATGAGGTTATGATCACTGTGTTTCTTAATACAATGCTTTAAACCAACAATTTTGTAAATACCGTGGTAGAGAAAAGCTGGGTCAGCAAATTGGAGTGGCACTGCTTTTTGCCTTACAAGTTATGCATCTGTTTTAGTATTTCTCAAAACCAACTCTGATTGACAGCTGTTGATTAATTGCCTCCTTTCTCCCATCCTCCAAAATATTTTTCTTTTCATACATGGTTGCTCTTTTTCTTTTTTAATGCAGTTTTTTTTCTTTAAGATTTTATTTATTCATTTGACAGAGAGAGACCACAAGTAGGCAGAGAAGCAGGGAGAGAGAGAGAGAGAGGGAAGCAGGCTCCCTGCTGAGCAGAGAGCCCAATTCGGGGCTCGATCCCAGGACCCTGGGATCATGACCTGAGCCAAAGGCAGAGGCTTTAACCCACTGAGCCACCCAGGCGCCCCCATGGTTGCTTTTATACATTTCTACGTGCTTGCTTGAGAAAAAGGCCCTATGATATATACAGTTTATTTCCTGTATCCCTAGTTTTCTAAGATCTTTTATTGTCATACTGTACTCATTTGACTCTCATTTCTCCATTTTTAAATCGTGTTCCTTATAAAATGAGTCACATAGTAAGGTAATTTATGGCACATTTACATTGGACAAGTCATCCTATATCCAAAATCTCTCTGTTCCTTCTCTCCTTAGAACGTCCTATAAGATCGCACCACATGAATTTTGGTTAACAACTTTATCAAGTTCAATTATACAACAAAGTTGACCTCCTTAGTCGGGAAGTTATGGCTAATCTGGATGTGCTGCATGTTTCTCTACTTACCTTCCATTTTTACCCTGCTGGTCTGCACTCTCCTACCAAGAGTCACTGAGTATTTCTGCCTTGGAGTTTTGTTATAATGTACCTTCTACGGACTGAACTGTGTCCTCCCAAAATTCCTGTGCTGAAGCACTAATTACTAATGTGACAGTGTTTGGAATGAAACTTGAGGAGGTAATTTGGTTTAGAGGAGGTTATGAAGGTGAGGCTGTCCTGATGGGGTAAGTGTCCACAGAAGAAAAGACATCAGAAAACTTCATGTCTTCTCTCTCTCTCTCTCGTTCTCTCTTCCTGTCATATGAGTACACAGCCAGAAGGTAGCCATCTGCAAGCCAGGAAGAGATCCATCACCAGGGAACTGGATCAACCAGCACCTTGATCTTGGACTTCCTAGCCTCCAGAATTAAGGAAAATAAATTCCTGTTGTTTATACAGTAGGTTTTTTTGTTTTTCTCCTCACATATCTGGATTGTAAAGAATCCACCAAGACAGAGTTTATGCTCTACCATTTATACATGAGTTTATATGCATACCATTTGTCTTAGATCCCCTCAATTCCAAGTATTCCCCCCCCTTTTAAACATTGATAAAGTAATGCCTGTTCCAGTAATTTGATACTGAGGTCCTTCCCTGTGTTAGCATTTCTCGGGCAAGTGGATCTGCAAATAGGATCTGAGTCTGTAATTATATTTATAGAGAGAGAGACAGACAGACTGAGAGAAAAAGGGAGAATGGGAGAGAGAGAGAAAGTGTGAGTGAGTGATACAAATATTTCTTGAATGACTAGAATGTTGAACAAATGTGTGCCTTATTTTCTCATATAATCTGAAAGGAAGATTTTACCAAGTAAAACTGCTAACCATTTAATAGTCACTAAAGTTAACCTATATATCTATCAGGCTGAGCTAACAAACTCACAAAGAAAGCTTTGTAGCATGCTGGAATTATTCAGACTGAAACAACAAGAAGTCTGGCACTGCCTTGTTAATGACTTGTCTTAATAAATCGTGCATCTTGGGGTGCTTGGGTGGCTCAGGTGGTGGAGCAACCAACTCTTGGTTTCAGCTCAGATCATGATCTCAGGGTTGTGAGATCGAGCCCTCTGTTGGCTCCTCACTCAGCTCTGAGATTCTCTTCCTCGCCCTCTCCCTCTGCCCCTCCCTGTGCTCTTGCTCTCTGTCTCTCTCTCGAATAAATAAATCTTTTAAAAAATATATAAAAATATGCGGTGGTCTTTATACATAGATTTTAAAATATGTAATAAATAAGAGGCATGGGTTTTGAAGTAAGACCTACCTGGATTTGATAAATATTATACCTCTCCCACCCCAAATTATTGGCGTTGGACAACCTCCTAACAACACAGTCTCCTCAAAGCCACAGCTTCCTCATTTATACAATGAGAATAAAATAGTAGCTAACTCATAGGGTTCTTGTGCGGATCTCTGAATATCTTAAAAAGAGTCAGCCAGCAAGGAGTATTCATAACTGTTGATATTATCTTATAGTTGTTTTATTTTATGAGATAGCCATTTATAGAATGAGTTCTCCTGAATAGCCAGTGCTATTTAAAAATCCTCTTTTGGGTGATTTGCCAAAGGAGCCACCCTAAATATAATATGCAGCCCCTTTGCAGATATGATTCTTCTTTCTTGATAGTTCTCATTAAGTGTTTGGGTTTTAAAAATCCATATTTTGTAAGCCCCATGTGCTGAAGACTTTGGTTAATAACATTCTGAGCTTGGTATTTGCTAATATTCTCTCTAAAGCCCGAGTTGAACATGGTTTATTTTCTAGGAGCAGATTTATTAGGGCAATGAAGAGCATGTATTGATGCTTGGTAGCATGAATATCTCTTTATTGGAATAATTACTGCAGAGTTAGGAATTGGGGATATCGATTGCATTTATTTAGTCTTTTGATATGGACAAAAATATTAAAAGCCATCAAACACTAGCATTGCCCTTTGACAGAATCATTTAATTCTAGCTACAGGGAAAATTGTGACATAAACAAAAGCTGCATGACTTATCTATCTTAATTAGGATACTTTCTACAGTGGGGGAAACACCCTCCTTCCTTCAAATATTATAAAATATATATATTTTTAAAATATATATAAATATTTAAATATATATAAATATTTAAAATATATATAATATTTCAAAATATTATAAAAGTAATAGCCAGGTTAATAAAAGATGGCAAAAACATTTTAGGTTAACAGAAAGTAATGTAGATAAGAGCAAAAGGTATCAACACAGGATACTTGACCAAAATAAGAATCCAAAATACTTT